AAATATTAATAATATAGACTTCCATCAGTCTTCCTTTGATAGCAATTAAGATGACCCAAATAAAATAAGTATGATGACCACCATAAATCACCCTGTACACCTGAACTGAATCTCCTCTACCATCTAATTTAAATACGCCACCAGATGTTCCCTCTCTCTCTCAAATATATCTATCTCCATAAATATTTCTCAATCACATAATCCTTGCAATTTCACAACACACATATAACAAACAATTCCAAAAACTTAAAGATATCTTCATAATTAGCGAAACGAAAATGGTGTTCATTTTTAACGAGGCGGGACTAATTGAAGATCGAGAGAAATTCGCCAGGACCGAAACTCGGATGTTCAAGATCGTCTTCGCCCTCTATATTGGCTCGTAAGGGTGGCTCTTATAAAGCGGTGCAATTATCCGGGTAAAATACTCTCGGAAATTTCCGTGATAAATTTCCGCCTTTAATAAGGGTGAGTCGCAAGTCATTTGGCCGAGCTCCGCGAGGGTGGGTACCAGGGGCTCTTCAATAGAAATTCTTTCCAACCCCCTACTACGCTCGCTACACTTTAATTTAAACATTTGTCGCTAATCCCATTCGATATCCAGACGACTTGGTAGCTTCTTCCGGTCGAAAGCTAATAATTACCGACTGCTGAATGTAGTGTAGTCGGAACGGGGTTGTAGAGATAGGGGGTGCTTCTTTCATTGTCGTCCGTCACTCTTACAGGGGCGGTGGATGTAATTGAAATTATACCGTGGTGTGGAAGTCTGCTGAGAATTCAGTTTCGCTGTGTTGGTGCTCATTATTGATGACTAATTATTTGTTAGTTATTAAGTAGTGTTTGTAATTAAATAGGTTGGGATGTGGATGCATTTTGATGGATTTGGAGATGCAGATGTTTGGACGTTTAGAGATTTTATTATGTGGGATGCGGGTTTTGATGGAAGCAATATGTGGATGTGGAGGATGTGAAGGATGTGGATGATGTGAAGGATGTGGAGGATGTGGATGATGTGGAGGATGTGAAGGGTGTGGAGGATGTGGAGGATGTGGAGGATGTGAAGGATGTGGATGATGTGAAGGATGTGAAGGATGTGGAGGATGTGAAAGATGTGAAAGATGTGGATGATGTGGAGATACATTTGTACTTTCATACCTATCTACAGTTGTAGAGATGTGGGGATGTGGGGATGTGGGGATATAGGGATCTACTGTCAAATAGATTTAACAATATTTAAGGTATCTTGCACCCTGACCTAGAAGGTATAAAGCTCCATAGTAGCCTAGAAGTGTAGCCAGCTTATGAATCCAGAAGTAGCTCATACTTCAGAACCCAGAGATGTCCACATGTCATCTAGACATCAGACTATCTATTGATCTACGAATCTAGCAATCTAAGAATATTCTAAACATCACATGTCACCTTTCCCTCCACATTTAAAACACGAATCCCTGACATCTCAGCAATATCCAAAATAAAACAACCCCTGCCACACCCTCAGAATTCACCACATCCATTCATCGACCCCCAATAATTAATTTTATAGTGCCTTTTGAACTCAGCCAAAGGTGAGCCTGATGAAATATGCTTGCAATTACCCCTGGCCTATTATATAGTTTCTGAAATATGTAAGCAGAGGTTCAAGTAAATTTGGGATTTATAGCTCAATCTCAACTTCATAATGGCTCGAAAGTTTTCGCGAGGCCACGCTATACTGCCTTCCCCTAAATCGAGCTCTTTTCTTGTTCCCAAAGAATTTAGATATGCGTACACGAGGTGTCTAATAATTACGAAGGTAAGACGCGACGTAAGAAGTTCAGCAAAACAGGGGTGAAAAGTGAATGGGACGTGTAAAACCTGGTCGTAATTAAGCTGTTGCCCTTGAGCTTAAGCTCCTTAGAGGTTTTCCGGCAATGAAATTTCCGCATACCCGTCAACGTCTAATGAGGGGATTGCGGATGAAGTTTCAGACCAGGAAGGAGCAATTAGGCGAGCGACTGTGTTTGCAACTCTGAGAAACCTCTAAACTCTAAACAGTGCTCTGTGATCTTCGAGGATTCGGTTACAGTCACTGCACAAGGATTCAAATGTCCAAGTTCATGTCCAAATCTTGGACATTTGGGGGAGTACGGAATGCTAATCTATTTATTATAAATAGGGGTTGGACAGGTAGTTGATGTTTAGTTAAACAAATACCAGGTGACATTTTGGTGAACAAGTACCAGGTGACATTTAGATGGACAAATAGCTGTTGACATTTAGGTGGACAAGTACTAGATGACATTTAGGTGGACAAGTATCACATGACATTTAGGTGGACAAGTTGCTGTTGACATTTAAGTGGACAAGTATCAGATGACATTTAGGTGGACAAGTGTTAGATGACATTCAGTTGAACATGTAGCACATGACACTTAGGTGGATAATTACTAGAAGACATTCAGTGAGGCAAATACAAGATGACATTCAGTTGGACAAATACCAGCTCAGATTCAGTTGAACAAGTACCACATGACATTCACATGACTATGTACCTGATATGATCAAATGCTACTTGATATTTAGATAATCAGATACCAAGACTCAGCTGATCAAGCACCAACTACCAAGTAACCTAAAGTCCTGTCAGACTGATCCCCACAATAACCAACCACTCCACAACTATTTCTATATCTCCCAAAAATCTGAATGTCCACATCAGTCCTAATCAAAACATCATAACCCATAAAACAGAGGCACCAAGTGAATTCATCAGCAGCTGGTGTCTCAATCGTAGTCCCCGCAAGAAAGATCGCAGGACAAAATTAAACGACCTCATCATCATTAGAACGCAACCACCTAATTACCGGAACGTCTTAGAGACGTTGGATGACATCGTCGACGAACGCAGACAATCGAGGCAAGGAGAACGAGACACCTCGGTTTCTTGTGGCTGTGGTACGCGCCCTCTCCGTGTCTGTGAAGGGGTATGAGTCTGCCTGGGAGAAAGCTTATTAATGGGGGTAGGTTGGGAGGGAATAGCAGTTGGGACGAAAGGCCTAGAACAGTAGCATCGCGGGGAAGAACGAGCACGGGCCTTGAGAGCTGGTGGCTGGTGGAGGGTGGAAAAAAAGTAACAGACTCCCCGCAAATAACCCCCCACGGGGTTGCCGGGTGGGCGTGTCCTGTCCGCGGGGTGATGGCAGAGCTCGGCCAATGGCGTCGCAGCTGGGTTGCCGCGCCGACGGCTTCCTTCGTCGAACGAAAAAATATTGACCGCGACGAAGGGGTATTCTGCGGTCCATTTGGGGGTTGCGGAGGTGAAACATAACGTCGGACTGATTGCCGGCGAACGGGCGCAGCGGGCCGGGAG